GTAATTACACGGTTAAAACTCTACAGAAACCCAATTGAAATTAAAATCAGATCCGACCCGTGTAAAATACGACCGACCCATGTAAAATCGGAACCCGGAATTCAATTTCAAGTTTTTTTTTTATATACAATACTTCATCTTCTTCACCCGATTTGGAATTTCCCAGACCGTGGAAGAAGCATTCATTCTTCGTTGTCTGAAACTATCTCTTCTTAATGCTCTCTTCATCAACAAACTGGTTTGGACCGAAAAATCTGTTCTCAATTCCATTCTTTAAATTTACGACTTCGCCGGATTTCAAATTTTGCTTACTAAGGTTTTGTCACATAGCTTTCAATTCATTACACTTTGAAATTTAGCCTAAATAAAAATTAGAAGTGGTGTTATTAACGTTGTTCATCGCCGAAGCTTATGCTTTGTGTATCCATTCTATGCTTTGTTAACCCTAACTCCATTTTCCTAAATCGAAGTTTATGCTTTGTTAATCCATCGACAATTTGTGAGTGTTGTTATTCGGTGTGACTTAAAATCTAATTGGGCCTAAGATACATCACGGGCCAGACCAAGGTTTACTTTGGGGTAGGACGGTGTAACTCAGGGATATAGGAATATTTCTTTTTCCTTATTGTATCGGATTTGAGACTTATATGAAGGGGTCATAAGGGTTTGTAAGGGGTTAAGAGAAGAATATTTAGATAATCAATAAAACCTAGACAAAGGGGTATTTGCCTCAATTGATTCTCTCTTCTCTTCTTTGTTTATCGCTTCTTCATAGATCTTTCATAGGATCGATATTCACAACAAGTGTGATAACGTCATCGTAGATGATCGGAGAAGAAAATGTTACTCCACCGGCGACGGTGGCAGCTCTGGTGTGATAACCTAGATCTTAGATCTAAGAGAAGAAAGAAGAGTCTTGTGTCTCGGTTTGATTATCAGAGTAACGTACAAAGGAAGAAAAAGATTTTTTCGCGGATTTCTAATTTTGGGTAAAAGTGTGGATATTAATTTTAATCGGGTTATAATTCGGTTAATTAGGTATTCTCGGATCGTTTCTTCAGTTAATATCGGTTTTGTCTAATTTTTAATTGGTTAAGATTTATTGGTAAATGATCAACCGAAAGTAATCGGATTTGTGTGGAAATTGTGATATAACTTATATTTTATGTGGAAATTGTAGTTTAAATTCTATTATGTGGGGAAATTGGAATTCAACTTCCGTATGATGGGGAAATACTACGAGGTCTTAATTTTGTGTCTATTTGATGTTATATGAAAGAGAATTAGTATGTTTTCCCTTCACTTTCGAATAATATTATTTTAATATATCGATAAACATGCTTTTTATATAGTTGATCTAATCTATTATATAGTGGGAGAATTTTTTCTCCTCTTAAGATGTACAGATCATCACTATAAAACTTTCACTTCATAAAAAAAGTAATTACATTAAAAGTAAAGTTTAATGATTCATTTAATTTTTTATCTTTTAATTATTGTTTTCTATTAATTACCACACAACATAAAAATTAAAATTTACATAAAATAAAAATTAAAAAATTGTACAATACAATAAAAATAAATAGATACTAGAAGAACTAAAATTAAAAAATTGATAAAAAGTTAATATAAATATTTTCAACGTTAAAATTGATTAAAATTCTAGATAAATCATACATCATTTTAAGTACAGAAAGACATACATTCTGGTCACGGCTACTTTATGTCATATTAAGATTGCATTTTTTTTACAAGAATTGGGTTGTTGAAAGCATTCACTATTGGCCATTTTACATTGGTGTTCAATGCGACTAAACATGTACTCGATTCTGCCAAACTGGCAAGCGTTATTGGTATGGATGAAAGGCAAATCTGACAATGCTCCATCATTCTGCGCGAGCTGGTGGCTCAAACGATTTGTTACTTGATCTGGATACAGAGAAACTCTAGGATTCTCAAACCAAGCTAATAACT